ACACACACACACACACACACACACACACACACACACACGGGAGACAAGGAATGTTGGTCTATTCGGATGACAGAAATTAACAGCCAAGTTTTTAAGAATTTTTTCCCTCTCTGATTACAACGTGAGAAGGGTCTTTAGCCCCAAAGACACAGAGTTTGGTGGCGCTGGATGGAATTAGGGGCTGGGAAGCCAGAAGCGCCTGAGTCCTTCCCTACCGATCACCCCCTCTCCCCATGGGCGTCCTGAGACGGCCAGACGCTAAACGGGAATCCAAATACCACTTTTATTAACAGAATCTAAAGCTCAAGTACATCAAGGCCTAAGTCCCCTAAAACTAACTCTTGGGACCTTCTCACCCTCTGGCCAGTTAACTGGAGGATGGAAGCTGAAAACCAGCAGGAGCAAGGCGGGCAGGTCCGCTTGGACGATCTCAGCTTAACTTACCCATGATGGAAACACAGAGAAGGTGGGAGAATATGCCAGACCCTGCATGCAGAGGTTGGCTGGCCATCCAGAAAGCAGGGAATGAAGAAGAAAGGCAGAACACGGGTGGCCGTTAACAGGGATCCCGCCTGTGTATGTAAAGGTAAATGTTCTAGAATTTTCCCAATCTTAGTGACCCTCTAACCTCTGAAGGTGAGTCAAGGGGAGGTGCAAAAGCAGGCGTGGCAGAGAAAAGAGCAGAGCAATGTACCTCCCTCCCTTAATCTCTCTCACCTAAGAGCTCACGGATACTTCCCCTCTGAGAGCCACATCTTTACAAACGGGGTCCTTTAAGAGTCAAAAGTTCACTCAATAAGAAAAAACTTTTGTTCCCAACGTGATACTTCTTCCTTGGACGCCTTTCAACTAACCAGCTACGGGTGGTCCTCCAAATCAAAGCTTTCTGGGTTCTGTGGATTAGAAGAGCTCAAAAGGGGAAGTGGGTGTCCTGTGGAATTTTTGTTTTCTTCTCACTCCCTTGGTCCTTTTCAGTGCTTGAACATTCCTATCCCCCAACCAGGCCTCCAGAAAACTCCACCTTCAAAGCCACCTACCTTGACGACCCATTGATCATTATCACTCCAAACCACTGGGTTTTTATTAAGGGAGCTGGGTCAGATGGAGTGGCAGAATGGAGACTACCACAGCGACAGTCACCGACAAAGGAGAGGTGGCGGATCTGCGTGGCCACCGCCTGCCCACCGGTGTCCCCCATGTTGGCCTTCAGGGGCTCCTAGGAGGGAGGTCAGGGCTCTCGCCCTCTAAAACCTCATCTGCCTCTTCCACTGCACTGGGGTCCTCCTCATGCACCCCCTGACCTGCCCCCACCCGGCGCTCCGGCTCTTCCCCACTCATCCACTTGTCGGCGCACCCCAAATGACTTCTGTGGTCGTTCTCACCACTGGAGGCACGAGGGGAGCCTTCTGGGTCGGCCTCTGGGCCCTGTGAGGTCGAGGCTGGCAACTCCGCGGGCTGTGGGCCTCGGAGGGCCTTCTGAACTGATGCCTCTCTTGCGGCTGGCCCTTTCTTTGCCATCATCGGTTTTTTCTTGGCATCTTCCGAATCGACAAGGACGTAAGAGACAGGGCCCAAGCTTACCTTCTTTTTCTTTCTCATGGGGGCAGGGCTCTTTGCCAAGGCCCAGCCCACGGCCTTCTTCTTTGGTGGGCCTTCCTGACCGCCATCTTGGTCTGACCCGGAAGCAATTCCGGGACTCACAGCTTCTGACTGGGCATCACGGGATGGCTTGCTGGGAGCCTTCCAGGCACATTTGCCCGCAGGCTTCTTCAAAGCCGACTCCTCCTGCTTCACACAGGGCTTTCTGTTGCTCCTGATAGCTTCTGAGGCCTCCATATTTTCCGCGCCATTGGCCTCAGGACCCTCCAAGGCGGCTGAGCTCTTGGAATGGTGGCCTTTGGGTTTCTTCCAGGCCACTGACTCTTGCTTGGGGTTTTTTTTCTGCTTCTTTCTCCTGGAGCGACTTTTAGCTCCAGCTCTGCGAACCAGAGGTTTGGGGGGGTCACCTTCGTCTTCCATGTCATGCCAGCTGTCGGGATTCTCCGTCTTCAAAGCAGACCCTACTTCTGCAGCCCATCCTGGCTCCTTCTTGACCTTCCTCCGTGATGCTGAAGCTGAAGCTGCCACGGCCTGGGCATCAGTCACCTCTTGCGCCCTCACTTCCTCGCGGCTGCGGATCTCGGCATCCATGTAGAAGACGATTTGCACCACTGTCCCCAGGAGCACCCCCAAAGCTTCTGCCCAGTTCTCCGGACGCTGATTCTGGGGCCGTGGGGGGTGGCTGAGCTGGAGCAGGCGGACCACATCCTCCCATGTGCGCCCCTCGGCATCTAAGAACTCATTCAGATTTTTTAAAAACTCAGCATCCTGGGTGGGGTCTCTACAAACCACTCTCCAGACGCCCCCCCTTGCTGGGAACTCCCGGGGTACGGCCCTGAGACTCACACCCTCTCCCACCTCAATTAGGGCAGCTTTGGCGTTCTCTTCCCTCAGAAAAATCTTATTGAGCACGAAGTACGGGCCCAGCGGGGAGAGGACCCCATGCAAGGTCTCCTCAATTTCTGCTTGACCACAGTCCTCTGGGATGCCCGTGACCAACAGGGACCTGTGGATGTCCACTTCCATACCCCGGCACCAGTCCTCCA